AGGTGGTCTTCGCGATATGTATCCCAGGTGGACAAGTTCTGTCTGAAACCTAATCCCAAAGTCTACTCTTTGGGTGTCCGTTGCGAAGCGTGAGGGCGATCCCTAAAGATTGCCTACAGCGTGCGCCCTAGCAGTTATACTGCTGGCGATCGGGCTTGCAAACGTCTCCGGGTCCTTAGGGCGAGGGGCGCCTAGATCAGTGACGCTCTCTACCCTTCGGGGTGATGGTGCGGGGAGAGACCTCATCGAAGACAGATAAGTCTCCTGTTGCACTTTGCGTTTGAGTTCCTTAGCTTGGTCAGCTCGCGGAGGTTTTCTCCGCTGGCGCCAACGCCTGAGTTCCTCCAGCCTCGTTCCAGCTCATCCTGTCTAGGGGCGTCCCCGACAGTGGTGTTGGACTCTTCCTGAGAAGCCAGTTCAGGTAGTGCCGTGTGTTCTGGCCTAGAACAGGGCGTCCTGGGTCGTTAGCGGTTGAGGTGGTCCCTTCTGACGAACTTGCTCGTCAACGTCTGGTGTGGGATGCGAGGCTCGGGGAGTCGCGGTCTGTAACGTCCCCTACTAGGTCGACCGTTGCTTGCTGGCCCTTCTTAAGTTGCGAGTTGAGGCGCTGGGTAGACCGGCTCTAGAGCTCATTGTTACAAAATCGGGGCACATGGGTATCGTAGGGACAGCGGTTCGAATGTCAGCAATAGAGTCTTTATAGATACGAGATGCACCGCGATAGTGGAAGTAGAGGTATATTGCCTTGTAAGACTAGAGACGAACCGCTGTCGAGCCACAACAGCGGTAAGGTAGGCTAATATACTGCGATTGCTTGGCATACCGGCCCGAACGGGCCCGGAGTAACCTGGTGCCTGACACTAGCTATTATACGCCTTTATTGCATGTTGTAGTAGAGTGTTATTAATGTGCAAAGGTAGTTTTATGTAGAGGTGCGCTATTTTAGTAGTGTGCGCTATTTAGCGGTAGGCACGTTATTAGATATTAATAGAAAACACAGGCTAAAGGGCGACGTTAGGGCTGACTAAGCTAACTGCAACACCAGAAAAGTATCGCGATATTAGCTCTACGGCAAACACTAAACCCTCATTAAAATATAGCCTAGAACATCGCCTAATACATGGCCTCTAGCTAAAAACATTAAGCCGTTTAACCCTATTAAGTGAGCCAACCCTCTAGAGCTTGATTGGCTTGTAAAATACTATACAACGGCTTGACTTGCAAGTACGCTTACGTTATCAAGCCGAACAAGCAAGTGCTTGCAAAAAGCTTGCTTGTTGGCAAGTCTGCCCTCAACTCAGGTGTCTCTCAAACCACCCAAGGCTGCAAAGACGAGGCCAGGCGGTAGAGCACTCCCATCAGCACAGATTGCTGCTAAACAAGTAACAAATCCCCTCTCTCCATCCTGCATTGCTGCTGTTACCCTCTTCTTCTCCCACAGCCTCTTATCAAAGATTATTTTTGAGCGTCCTAAGATGCCCAGCATAAAGCCTTTCTCGTCCATACTGTATGTGTTGCTTGCCTCAATGTTGAACCGGGCAATAGTCTCGTGTATAAGGTCAAAATACATGCGGTATTTGGTATGTGAGTCGGCGTTGTGGCGTACAGCGTCCATGGCAGAGGCCCATTTTGATATGACAGTGTCCTTGTTTCGGTTGACGAAGCGCGTCACCCAGGACCCTGAGATGTCCTTTCTGCTTATAGCACAGGCAAAATTTCGTATCATATCCCTAGTGGGAGGTAGCCTACGCGTTGTAAGCGCCTCAATATGCTTTACAAGAGCCTGCTCTTGCTGTGGCTTGAGTGCACGTTCATTGAGTGTTTTGGCCTTACGGGACCCTTGACTGCCCTTGTGTCTTCGCCGCAATGTAGATGCCACAACACCAAACTTAGCTGCACATTTTTCGTACGAGAGTTATTCTCCTAGTTCTCGCGATTCTAAATATGCGATCGCATCGTCAATAGGTGCCATGGTTGTGGAGTTGTGACGCGTTGAAGTTGGTCTCTTGTTTGGTGATTCGGTGTTCGTCAGGCGTCAACCGAATCCAGGCGTTAGGTGCACGGGCACAGTAACCCCTTTTTCCGCAATCTGCAACTGCTACGGCGATTAATGCCACTAAGGTATACATCGTCCCTGATTTCCAGGATGCTTGAGTTTGGAGAACATGTACTCTGCGTTTATCTCCGTGTCAAATGGACCTCCGGTTGGCGTCATAGCTCGAACACAACCATCCTATTCTCTCTACTGCAATGTAGTAGAAGCGGCAAAAGTGTCTGAAATGCAGATACACGGCAGTTCCAGATCTCTAGAAGTGTATGGGGAAGTGTGAGGTGTCTGTCGAGTTGGCTTATCTCGCTGAAGGGCGTTTCTCGCTTACCGTGCACGTGCACCCAACGCCCGCTCCGAGCCTTAAAGCTTATCATAGAGATGAGGCTATAGAGCCACGTACAATAGTTATTGTAACGAGATTTTTTAGTGGAGTATTCTATAGACATATGCGATTAAGTTACGCTATATATATTATTTATATAAAGTAGCTGTGCGGCTAGTGCGTGTCGTGTAGGTGCGCGCGGTTGTGATGGGCTGGAGCCCAGTTAGTGTGTAAGGGGCTACGCTCAGGGAGCTATCGCGCAGGTATACTGGAGTTGTATTCGATAGAGAGCTAAGCTCTAGGCTACGTGGCTATCTATATATACCTAGGTAAAGAGCGGTAAGAAAGGCTCGCTTGTTGTCTGGGCAACTATCGGGTCGGGCCGGACGAAGAACCGAGATATCATCGAGCATAAGAGAGCAAAGAGCTCTAGCCCATCACATAGTGAATTCTCGATGATATCTCGGTCACGTGCGCAAGCGCACGGCGCACGACGGTACGCGTCTAAACGACGCTTAGGCCAAACCCCTAAACCCCGGCCAAAGGTTAATCCGAGCTGCCACCGATTGACCTTCAGCACTCTAGCAGTCCGTAGTTCTCTTCTCCATCGAATACAACTCCAGTATACCTGTGCGATAGCTCCCTGAGCGTAGCCCCTTACACACTCACCTTCAAGCCGCCTTTAACTCCTACGCCAACTATCACATCAAGTCGATATCACAAGCCGACGCGATCGCCTTTGGCCGAAACAACAAGCTACCGGATGCGCCGGCATGGATGAGATCAATTGGACTCACCACGGCCGACTAGGCGGTAATCACTGAATATATCGACCTGCTGCGACCTCTCAAGCACAGTTCCGAACGCCTTGAAGGCCGCGGCAAATCAGGCAAGTTTGAAGCTATATACGGGGTCATCCCAGTATTCGAATTCTTACTTCGCGAGCTTGAAACCCGCTGCAACCAGTACGAGCATGTCGACTACAACGTCCACGCTGAAGCTCCTGAAGACCACCTTGCGATCAATCTCCGAGCCGCGTGGCGTAAGGCTAATGAGTATTACTCTAAGCTTGATGACTCGCCTGCCTACTACGCGGCTTTCTGCCTCCATCTACACTATAAGCACTATTGCAACAACAGCTGGGCTAATAACGCTGGATGGCTTGATAGTAATAACGCCGCTTTTAGGCAGCTTTGGGCTCAGTACAAGCCAACAGCTCTGCCGATTTCTCGCAATCAGCCGTCTACCTCAGGCGATATCGATAACGCTATCAACGCGCTCGTGGACCACGACAAGGGCAACAGCGAGCTCCGCTTAGACGAGTAGGAACAATGGCGCAAGTACGAACCAAAGTGGACGAAGGAGCAACACAACAGCGGCAACGTTATACGATATTGGAGAGATCTTACTCCTAAATACCCTCACCTTAGCCGCCTCGCGATCGATATATTGACCATACCAGCTTCTAGTTGGAAGTGTAAACGCTTGTTTAGTGAGCTAGGCGATCTCCTTGAGCCTCGTCGCCGCAAGATTGGAGCGCAGCTGCTTGCAGCGCTTCAACTAATACGATCGTGGGCGCGGCGAGGCTTTACGATACCAGAGGAGGCAACCGCAGCGTATACGGACGAGGAGATGGTGAGCAAATATAGGGTGGACGATTGGGACGAGCCGCCGGAGTAAACTTAGCAAGCATATATCCTTTGAGGCAACCTAATCTACTAATCCTCAATCCCTCAATCAATCCCCAATCAATCTGCTCTAAACCCCCAACCCCCAACCCCTTAAGCAAGCTAATCAATCCTAAGCCTCGGGTCGACCAAGCCAAGCCAAACCAGAGGCTACGGATTGGCACGAATTGATTGTTGTCAATTGTGGTATCTAGTCTCTCGTAACAAGCTATTCTAGCAACATGATCGAGCACGCCGCAAAGATGCTTACAGAGCTCGCCAAGGACGACTCAGCAGTTTCCACCTGAAGCTCCATCCTGTCTGCTCTGCAGAAGACCTTTCAGCACGATCAAGACGGTTTCTGGCAAGCGCCTTCTCACTTCGGCACCATCATGCCGCCTCTACTTTCTCTTCTCAGTCTCTCTTCGGCGTCTACTTCTACTCCCGAGAACAACACGAACAATGTCCCTAACATCACCGAACTCGCCGCTGCGTCTTCGTCTAGCATGGAGAATCACCGCGAGATGAACAGTATCCTGCTCAAGAACATGAGGAGTGAGGACAGGCATACCAGGTTGACTACTGTGCTTTGTGAGCAAAGCTTGACCTGACGACTGGGAGAAGAGTGGCTGGGTCTGTTGCCTGAGATGCTGCCGTTCATCAGTGAGCTCATGGAGAATGATGATGAGATAGTGGAGAGGGAGTGCCAGAGGTGGAAGAATGGCATGGAAGAGATTTTGGGTGAGAGTTTGGAGGGTATGTTGCAGTAGTTTAGCATCTCATGCTTTTTTCATACATATCATACAAAAGGTATTTTATTACACTCAAAAAGAGTTCGTGCGATCTAAAAGATGAGTGTGCTTCAATATATCTACTACTCTACATCTTTCGTAGGAGATAAGAGTTGTTGTCGCCTTTGCATACGAGGAACTATCTTTCTGAAAGATTATAGGCGTCTGCATCAGACGCCTATATACCGAATGTTCGGCTGCGGTGGCGTCTCCATACCATTTCCAATAAAGTAATCTACATGGGCGTTCTGCAAATAGCCCTTCAGCGTCATTCCATTCCGGTAGTTTGGATTATGCGCCAGCGTGTACAGTTTCCTTTCCGTAGGCTGATCAGTAGTAAAGATAATCAGCTCACTCATATTCTCATTCGTAGTAATGACCTCTTCCCTCCAATCACCAAATATATCGCCCAGGAAAGCTGGATTGGGGTCACCGGGGTTCACGGCACCGTAGTCGCTGATGCTGAATAGGCGGGGTAGCGAGGTAGATGTAGCGGGAGCCTCTGGATCCCATTTTTCCACTCTTCCGTCGTTGTAGAGTTCCATTGTGTCGTCGCCGTCCCACCAGAGACCTAGATGTGCCCAGGGAGAAAGGTCGCTACTATCGGTGATGGTGGAGTTACTGGGCGCGTTGTACAGTCCATTTCCGCCTGCGCTCCAGGACTCCATGCCGGGGTGGTTGGGATCAATGTCGCCAACTAGGCCTCGACCGATATCTCCGACGGCGTCGCCGTAGTGCTCCCATAGCACCTCGCCGCTGCGTGCGTCGTAGTAGTACTCCCACAGTTTAGACGGGTTGTCTTGCTGGACGCCGTAGCCCTGCAGACCCGGTCTGTCTGGATCGATTTTGGCGACTTGCCAGCGGTCGCCGTGCCCGATACTCGAGTCTGTGAGCGAGTAGCGCATGCTTCCGTCTCCTTCAAGTAGGAACATGATTTCGCCAACCTCGTCGATGCCGTCGCCGTCGACGTCTAGGATGCGTGTGTTGTGCCCGTCAGACCCTGCTCCGGCGTCTTGGTCGTCCCAGATCCATTCCTGGGTTAGCCTGGTGCCGTCGAAGGTCCAGGCGGCCATGATCCGGTTGAAGACTCTGTCGTCGCGGCGGTTCTTCATGAAGCCTACGATATGCGGTGTGGTGCCGTCGAGGTAGCCGACGCCCAAACGTGCGGCGAAAGGACCGTGCTCGATATAGTCGTTTGGGATGAGGATTGACGCGCGAAGGGTGCCTGTTTGGCCGTCTAGGACAGCGATGAATTGCTCGTCATCGTTGCTTCCCTCGTCGAATATGGCTCCGTCGCCGAACACAACACCGTTGGCTATACGTACGATGACTTCGGCGAATCCATCGCTGTCGAGATCGTACACGGTCACGCCATCCCAATGGCCGACGTCAATGCCTGCTGACCCCGGTTCGATATTGTTTTGATTCTCGCTATTAGGCCCCATGCCCACTTCCCACAGAAATTCACCGTCGCTGCGATAGGCTTCGAGGCCTTGCTGAACGCCATGTCTGTCGAGGACGTAGCCGTACTCGCCGCTTCCATCAAGATCGCCAACCCACACGTACTTGATCTGATTACCCGATCTGATGGGAACACGGATAAGGGGCTCTTCTTCGGTATTGGCCTGGAGTGTGTAGCTGGAATTGGTAGACGATTGCTCATCTCCATCGATGACTGTCCGTACCCAGTATTCGTTGGATTGGCTGAGATCAGCTTCGGAGTCCAAATAGTTTGTACCGTCAGTAAGAGGCTCTGGGTTGAGTCTGGTTGCGTCGGCGCCATCCGTTGAGCGATAGATGTTGAAAGTGATGTCTTCTGGATCAAGACCAAGTAGTCGCCAGCTGATGAAAGCGCTGTCGTTTTGGGCACGAACGGCGACAATACCCCGCCCAAGGTTTTCCATCGGCCGAGGTGAGGATTGCCGCTTTGTTGTTTGTGATGCTACCGCGCAAGCGGCAGCAGAGAAGAGAACGTGAAAGAAGCCCTTCATTGCCTCGGGTTGCTGTTGCGTATAACCAAAGAGCTTATGGACATCCGAAAATGCGCACCCATTATGAAAACTAGACTCTGCGACCAGGCGACATATATACTTCCAACAATTTTGCTCGGACCGGACCGATCATGGCCGTACACCAGTCATTGAGATACTTCGTGCTGATGCGCAACTAAGTCGGGCCATTGTTAACGGGGCAAACTGACTGTACACCATCCGGCCAAGTCTCTGCGCTAACGTGTAATGACCAGTATTCGGACAATGCAATAAAGATGTTCTCTTCAAGTTTATCATCTAATCAAAAATTGCGTGCAGATCCCATCTGACCCAGCGGGTGATGTTTCAGCCAAGACAGTTAATAACAGCCCTTTGATTTTCCACCAGTGGCGATGCTCTGACGATCTGATATCTCCGCAAATTCAGATTGAGGTTGTGTCGTTGATCAGATATCGACGATAACCAATACCGAACTCATTGCTCCGAAGGCCGAAAGCCATGCGACGACGACTTTTGTCTCGCTGAATGACACACCTGGCTTGGTTCTCGTATCTTTCACACCTTGAAGACGACTTCCTTAAACTCATGATACCGAGGGGGTCTATAGTATCGACATGCAGTCGCTATGGTGCCATCTCTTTGATTAGTTCAATTCAAAATATTTGGTGAGCGGTGACAACTCAGGATCGTAGCTGTACAGCAAGACGTGGCGTTGGGATCGAAGGGAGCGTGGACACGGGGTACATGAAGGTGGGAAGGGTGAGTGGGTCCCACGCCTTGGCGGTAAACTTCGGCTCTCCTGAAAGTCTAATGTCCCTTCCTGAGTGCTGGGACACTCGCTGTGCTGGGACAAATGAGGGGTACTTTGACTTTCAGCACTTCGCTTTCTGCGCGCACACTAAGAATCGTTAGAAAATTCTAATATCTGTGTACTAGGTTGGTTGATTGGTTGCTTGGTTGGTATTTCTTACACGGTTTCAGCCGCGAATCGCAGCTATGGCTGGTTAACAGGCTTGGCAGACAACCGACGCGGTGCGGATGTTGATACGCGCCGCCCCACTTCATCCCAAAGAACCATCTGTTCCCAGAGGCCGGCTGTTTTCCTCCCGCCACTACCGAGGTTGCGCACGCAATGACCCGGGTCGCGCGATAACCCACTTGGCAACATACCTGGGCACATGGTTACAATATGGTTATTTGGATAACTGGTTAAGCAGACGTTAAAGCCCTTTTCAGCCAATTGGACAGATATTATTAGTAACAAGATTTTCTCTAATTGATTAGAAAAGACTATGGTACGCTAACGTCTGCTTAACTAGTTATCTAAATAACCATATTGTTGTTAGTGTAAGGGGCTACGCTCAGGGAGCTATCGCACAGGTATACTAGAGTTGTATTCGATGGAGAAGAGAACTACAGGTAGCTAGGGTTCTAAAGGTCGTTTAGGGGGCGGCAGCTCGGGATAACCTTCTGCCAGGCTCGCTTGCACAGAATCTAGGTGCTTAGGGGAGGCACCCGGAATCTGTAGACAGTGCGCCTCGCGCACGTAACTAAGATATTATTAAGGACTTACTAACTAGGCTCTAGCCTATTACATTACCCCTCTTCTCCCCTCCTTTCTAGGGGGTATCTCGTTAAAACCCTTCTAGTAGGCGTCCTTCTTTGTCTTAGTATTCTCTCGTATATTCTTCCTATTAATCTAGGGCTTCTGTATTCTCTAGGATTTCTACTAGTTTAAGGGTCGTGTCACGAGATGCTACGAGCACGTGTTTAAGAGCTTACTAGAAGCGTTAATTGTGGCTACGTACGATATCTAGTGTAATACAAGACGTTACGTAAGGAAACAGAATTAGCATGTACAGGCGGTGAGAAGTTATCGATAGGGGCCGTGCGCATAGCGCTAGGCCCGGCCGGCCAATCAGCAGAATTCGGGTGCTTAGCGGAGCACTCGGATTCTGTAGCGCGTTCAGTGTCAAGAGAACCACAGTAGTTACCGTGACAGGTCGTCTAGTAGTATCCTTTCTACTTAACGTCGAAGTACAGTTTCTATCTACGTCTACAGCGTCGTAGTTGCTCTTCTAAGATCTCTTCTACTACCCACTCGTCCTCACCGTTAATCTGTAGCAGTAGTAGCTAGTAGTTGTCCTAAACCTAGCTAGGCAGTAGGTCGGAGTTTGCTAGGCGTAATCTGTTAACATAGAAAACAGGGTAATAGCCTCTTAGGGTGTCTAGCTTAACTAAATAGCTATTAATTACTTTAATTACTATGTATTTAGCGCTTTTCTAGTCTAATTTTCGTAACAGACAGCCTATTTAGTATTGCTTATTAAGTTTTAGCTAAACCTTATCGCTAACCTTATAATTCCTTGCTTCCTTCTAGTGCCTATTAGTGTAATGGGCTAGAGCCTAGTAGGTAAGTCCTTGATGATATCTCGGTCACGTGCGCGAGGCGCACTGTCCACAGATTCCGGGTGCCCTCCTAAGCACCCAGATTCTGTGCAAGCGAGCCCAGCAGAAGGTTATCCCAAGCCGCCGCCCCCTAAACGACCTTTAGAACCCTAGCTACCTGTAGTTCTCTTCTCTATTAAATACAACTCTAGTATACCTGTGCGATAGCTCCCTAAGCGTAGCCCCTTACACATAAGGAGTTCTTAGTGCACTAAATAGGAGATAGTACCTAGGGCCTAAAGGGTCCTAGTATAGCTGTCCTCGTAAACGGCAGCTATCTTAAAGACGCCCTTAACGTCTCTAATCTATTAGTCTACCTGCTAGGGGGTAGCTAACTTACTAGTGTCCCCTAGTTTAGGCTAAGGAGTAGCCGCATTTAGGGCCCTTAGCAGTTTAGATGCGTTATCCGTAGTGCTACTAGGTTTGCCTGTTGTCTCTCTAACAACTGCCTAAGCTATAAGGAGAAAGTTAGTAGTAGCTACTCTTTTGCAGAGTCTTACTAGGCGCTCTTTAGGTTTACCTCTGTCTTCGGCTTCCTAAAGGGCGTTTGTTACTTAGGCTACCTAATCTTAGGTGCTAGCAGCTAGTGTCTAGGCATGCAACAGCCTATAGGTAGAGCTATAGGTTACGCTGTTGTTGTTATTGCCTATCCTATTATAGGAAGGTATAGTAGTACTAGACGCTACAGCATTATTATAGTGCATATGCGCAGTACAAAGCTCTATTACTAACTAGGTGCAGTAGAGAGATAGATCCCCTGCTACTAATTAATACGATCTAATAGGTAAGGTGCTACGCGCCTTCCTGTAGTTAAGTAAGGAGTTACGCAAGGGCTGCCCTTCTTTGCTCTAAGGGGTCCCTAAAGGGTTTTTAGGGTTAGAGGCTTCCCCCTAGAGGAGTCCTCGCTATTATTATAACAGCCCTTAGGCTCGTTGCAGTAAACACCCTTAGGTGTCTTACGCTAGAGGAGTTTATCCTCTTGCGTAGTAGTTTCGCGTTAAGCCTATTACTTAGTTACAGATTAATTAGCAACGCTGCAGTCCTAGTCTAGGGAGGTGTTAGTTGCCTAACAGGCAGCTTACTTACCTTGTGTCACGAGATGCTACGAGCACGTGTTTAAGAGCTTACTAGAAGCGTTAGTTGTGGCTACGTACGATATCTGGTGTAATACAAGACGTTGCGTAAGGAAACAGAATCAGCATGTACAGGCGGTGAGAAGTTATCGATGGGGGCCGTGCGCATGGCGCTAGGCCCGGCCGGCCAATCAGCAGAATCCTGGTGCTTGGCGGAGCACTCGGATTCTGTAGCGCGTTCAGTGTCAAGGGAACCACGGTGGTTACCGTGACAGTACCCCCCTCTTATTCTCGAGCTCCTGCGAGCGTCGATCGTGACGATAAAGGTTCAGGGATATCAGGAAATCTTTCGTGGAAAGCAGCCACAGCTGCGTTATCCTTCAGGTTCAAGGCGGGTTCCCAGGTCAACTCATTGTAACCAGTCCATTTTACATAGTACTCGTGTCTCTTTCTACGCTTGTTAAAGCGGAGACCTTCGACGCTATCCACAAAGTATTCTTCTTCGTTATCTACAACGACAGGTTCGGGTGGCGGTGCATTCTGGCCAGGTATGTGATCGTCTTCTTTGGCTGCTAGACGAAGGAGGGATACATGAAATACAGGGTGTATCTTCATAGATTCAGGTAGATGGAGGCGGTACGCATGGGAGGAGACCTTCTTGGTTATTCGGTAGGGTCCCAGGTTCTTCCAGTCGAGCTTCTTTGATGGTCGTTGTGTTCGGATGTTACGCGCATCTAGCCATACCTCGTCGCCAGCTTCGTAAGCTGGTGCAGGTAGGCGTTTACGGTTCGCGTATTCTTGCTGCAGGGCTTGCGCCCATGTCATTTCTTCGCGGATAAACTCAGTGATATCACGCATCTTATCGATCATCACATTCACATCCCGGGCTTGTAGGGCCTGGTAGGCGGGACGTGTCTTGTTCGTGGGCGGTTCAAAACCCATTCGGGGGTTCTGGCCGTAGCAGGCCATCATCGGAGATACTCCTGTGGATTCCGAAACGGTGTTGTTAGCTTCGAATTGAGCGATAGGGAGCCACTGGACCCAGTCGTCTTGCTGGTAGTTCGTGTACGCGCGTAGGACTTGTTCCATCGCAGCGTTAGCGTTCTCGGTTTGCCCGTCAGTTTCGGGATGATAGCCAGTTGAAAAGCGTGGGTCAATCTTTAGCTGGCTACATAGTTCGTCATGGAAGGCAGAGACGAACTGTCTGCCTCTATCGGAGACAATCGTGTCGGGAAGGCCGTGGTTGCACCAGACGTGGCGAAGAAACATGCGCGCTACGTCGGGTGCTTCCATCTTGCTACATGGTATTAGGTAGCGGTATTTGGACAAACGGTCCACTACCACCATCACGTTCTTGTATCCTTCTGACTCAGGTAGGTCGACCACGAAGTCGACGGAGATATCTGCCCAACGTCGTTCAGGAACGGGCAATGGCTTTAATAACCCGTGGTACTTCTCGCGACGCTTTAGAGCGGCGGC